TTAGTTTTGGTATGCGTTCGATTACGGTGATGGCTTCTTTTTTTCCCCAAACTATTTTTTAAATGTCGTGCAATCTTTTTTTTGTTTGTTTTGTTTTTGGTAATACGACAAACTGTTAACATTTTTTTTTCTTTGATTTCTGTGTAAGTGGATAACATATAGACTCTGTTTTTTCTCCGTTTTTTTCTCTATTGTCATTATTGCAACTAAGTTGCTTCGGTTTTCTCTGGTTATTTAGTTGCTGTTGTATTTTATTTGCACAATATGTACAGTTCATTTTTTTCTCGCTTATGTTTCCTCATTGTTTTCGATTTTCTTCTTATGAATAAAATATTACATTGAGTCCTAGTTTGACTAATTATCATCCCTATACTAGTACAATTGACACAGATCTTTCCGTTAAAACCATGATAAATCCGTGCTGTTGCGTGTATTTCAGATTAAAATTATTCACATAGATAATGGCTGCCTCAACATTGCTAAGTGGAAAACGAACTAAGACTCATACAGCCACTCCGACGCCAAGTGTAGGTGAACCAATTACAGAAGAGGAATTGAGAAAGAAAGATGCATCAATTACAGTTGAGGATGTTTTGAGGCTACGAAAACCAACGAAAGGTTTGGATTTTATTCTTTTATAAATTTTTCTTTATCAAAGTTAATTAGACTTTTCTTTTCTTTCAGGTTATCTATGTGAAACAGATGAAAATAGTTATAAAATAGATTTTGTTCGATTTCGAATACGTGATATGGCCAGTAATCATGTTCTATTTGAGGTTGAAAGATCGACAGGTAGTATTTATGAACTACATTAAACTGTATTACAGTGATTCTATCTTCTATTTTCAGAAGATGGCGACAGTACCGAAGACGACTCATCATCAAGCCGTTTTGTTCAATATCATTTTCCACCAACATTTTTAAAATTGAAACAAGTTGGTGCACAGTATGTTAATATTTTTTCTTTGTGCTTGAATGGTGATGTAAAAATTCTAAGAACATTGTGTTTTTAGAGTTGATTTTACTGTTGGTGACAAAGAAGTAAAGTCATTTCAAATGATTGAACGTCATTATTTTCGAGACCAATTGATTAAAAGCTTTGATTTTAATTTTGGATTTTGTATGCCAAATTCTCGAAATTCCATCGAACATATTTATGATTTACCAGAACTTAAGTCTGATCAAAGTAAGTTCATTGTATTTTCAAGTAATAGTAATAGCAGCTAGCCATATTGCGAATTATCCGTACATATTCGGCGTAAATCATCTAATGTGTTGAAGAAGTGAGCTATCAATTTAGTAGTTTTACCAAAATGTAGTTCAGCTCCTCCATTATCGATGGACAAAGTTAAATAGTCTTGCTTTATATAGTTAAACAATAAAAACAAAAACATCATTTTTTTGAGCGCTTACAGTTACTACGTACTAAGTAAGAGCGAAACTACAAATTGAGAAAGTTTAAAATTGTGAACGTATGACATACCATATAACCAAGTATATGTTATGACTTTTTGTCTTTGTACCGGATATAAGTGCGCCATACTACCAGCATTGGATAATTGGCAGCCAGCTATATTTAAAATAAAAGATTTTTAAACAATCTCATTGCCTTTTTTTGCTTTTTGTTGTTTTTCTTTTCCTAGTAAGAATATCTGGCTCATGAAAAAAGATAAAACTTTATCAGACATGTTATACAGTAGAGTGCGAGAAAGTGAATATGGTAGGCTGTTTTTGAACTGATACTTAAGAGACAGTTCCTGAAAATATGGTCCATGACAACTTAAGATGAAATTTAAATTTTGAATCTTTTTATATCATTCGAAAGCACTATCCAAATGACCGCTAAATTCAAGATTTTAACCTTAGAGATTTTATCTGAAAAAAAACAACCTATTTACATTCTAGTATGATCAAAATTGATGATTTTGCTATAATATTAATATACTAGATTATAGATGCAGCTACATTAGTATAACAAGGCTTTCTGCAACAGTCTACGGTCGGTCTATCTCTGATTCTATCTGACCCTTCACTCTTATTCTTCCATTCCAGATTTCTTAGTTTAGTCAAGCTTGTATAGCGAGAAAAGAATTTCTTTTTTTAAACAGTAAGTAAAATCGATATTGGGTTGAATATTCTGTTCATGTTACGGATAAATCGGCAGTTAAAAGCTCACTTGAGAAATTAGAAGAACAACACTGATAGTGTAGAGATAAACATTTCTGAGTGCGATTGTAGGACTACTGTAGCTTCTACTCGCTTTCGAATGCACTATTTTTAGAATTATTCGAATGATTTCACGACGTTAACGTCTTTTGTTTTTGTTTCTCATTGTAGTTAAAGAAATGATTAATTATCCATACGAAACTAAATCAGATAGTTTTTATTTCGTTGACAATTGTTTAATTATGCATAAAAAAGCTGAATATGCTTTCAACATGTCAAATACAGCGAATCAATGAACAATAGTCAACTGGTCCTACCTAATCAAGAGAAGTGTGTATGTGTCTATATTATTTATTTTCTTCGAATACGTTGATGTAAACGAAAATATATGTGATTTTTAACTGTACGAGAGTAAAGCATAATAATTAATAAGTTTTTTTTCGTTTTGTATGTAATCGTTTCGTTTTATTTTAGTGAAGTGTGTCTAAAATTGACGATTGACTGCTTTGTATACTTAATTACCAATCGTGATAGGTTTTTAAGTATTACTAGTTTTCAATATTCTCTTTTTAGTTTTCTTTAAGTAATCAGAGTAAATCTCAGCGAATTTTCAGCAGACAAGTTTTATCTTTTGAATGAATATTTTTTCCCTGTTCAGATGATCTCAATAAAAGCTATTTAGCTTTACTGACAATTTAAGTGATTTTTTTTGAAAATATAAATTCTGTACAGAGGAAAAAAATAGAAACAAGACGCTGCTAGAAATACTCTTTTCTTTGGTTTCAAAATGAGCTTTTTTCAAAATTTATTTTTTGAATATTTTTTGTTGTAATTTTTTTTATATAAAAAAACATTCCGTTTTACATATGTATCATCATCGTTATAACGAATGAAAAATAACTCGAGAATGAAATGTCTGATTTTCTCATCTTTTTATTGCGTTATCGAATCAGACAAATAGAATTGAAAGAGTTGATGAGTTACGTGAGAAGAGAACGAACATCAACAGAATCTCATAAAAACGTTATGAATTTTCAATTCCTTAAGCAAGTTCTCTAAACAATTATTCATGGTATGAAGCTTTAGCTTCACTTTTATTTGACGTATATGCATTACTTGCCACGACTTTCTTTTAAAAAATTTTCTTGTTTTTTTTTTCTGTAGATATAATTCAAAATGTTTGTCTAATATTACAATGATATTCAAACAGTGTTAGCAAAATTTTCAATCACCACCATGGATTATGATCTATTGAATAAAGCACAGTTGAGTTTTGAATATCTTCACACAAATTCTACTACACATACATTTATATTTGGAGCATTAGCTGAATTAGTAGATAATTCAAGAGATGCACAAGCACAAAACTTGAAAATATTTACAGTCAGAGATCCACGATTACGAGGTGGATTTTATTTGGCATTTTTAGATGATGGATGTGGTATGCATTATGGTACGTACAAAGAGACAATTTATTAAAATCTAAAAAACAAATACTCACATTTTTTTGTATAGATTATTATCTTTATAAATTGTTTGATCGAGCGTTTTGTTTTGAAATGTAACGATAATCTCTACTCACGATTTTTTCTTCTGAAATTTTTTAGAAGATGTATTCAATGTGATTGTGTTTGGAAAATCGAATAAACGTAATATTGATTCAAATCAAATTGGTCAATATGGAAATGGTTTAAAATCAGGTGCCATGCGTATTTCGAATGATTTTATTTTATTTACTAAAAAAGATAATATCGGTACATGTCTGTTTTTGTCACGTACATTTCATACTGAAGAAGATTTACATCAAGTGATTGTCCCGATGCCATCGTTTAATTTAATAACAAAAGAACCATTATTACCATCAAATAATGAATACGATCAAACAAGATATGATACAGAAATGAAATTAATTTATAAATATTCGCCATTTAAAACACGTGAGGAATTATTCAAACAATTTGAACAAATCAAATCACCAACGGGTACATTAATTATACTTTATAATATGAAATTGTTGGATAATGGTGAACCAGAATTAGATATTAAAACAGACAAATCAGATATTCTCATTGATTCAAGAGATCTTCGAAGCATATCAGATGATCGTTATAAGTATGTCAAACGAGTTATATTATCAAAATGCGGATAATTTTTATTTTACCTTGTTTTATTTTTATTATACTAATGATTTTCTTTGTATTTAGTATTCCAGCTGAACGTCGATCATTACGTGCCTATGTGTCGATATTGTATTATGAGCCGCGTATGAAAGTCTATATTCAAGATAAAAAAGTGATAACAAAAAAATTAGCGTGTTCATTGTATAAACCGAGAATGTACAAATTTATGTCAAATCGATTTAAAAAGCGAAGTGAAGAAGAAGCGAAAAAAGCTCAAGAAGACTGTTTAGCTATTGAAGATCGAGCAAGAGAAGCTGAAAGTAAAGCATTGGATTTAGCACAACGTATTGGTAACAGTTCAGATTCATCAGATCGTCTAACATTGAGAAAAGCACAAATGGCTGCTAGTCAATTAAAAAATACGTTAGATATTAAAAAACGTCTATTAGAAAGAAAACAACGGTAAGCATGAAAAATACTATGGACGTTATGAATTTTTGAACTGCAAAATTTAACTCTGCATCTTGTGTACTCTGCTTTGTTTTTGTTTTCCAGTGAAATTAAAGATCCAAAAGTATTAAACTATATATTTGGTTTAAATGTACAAGAACGTTCAGCTGACGGTGTATTTGTTTATAATTGTGGTCGTTTAATTAAAATGTATGAAAGAGTTGGAATTTTGAATAGCAAAGCATTGTAAGTGATTAAACTCGTTTAAAGTCTTTTATTTTATACGCATTTTATATATATAATGATTTTTATAGATTTTGTCGTGGTGTTGTTGGTGTTGTCGATGTTCCATATATTGTTCTTGAGCCGACCCATAATAAACAAAGTTTTGCAGATGAAAAAGAGTATGCTTATTTATTGAAAATAATGGGTGATTATATGAAACAATATTGGGATGATACCGGAATCGAAAATTATGTACTCGAATTTTGGGAATCATTTGGTAAGTCATACGTATAATTAAGACATTCTGACATCTTTTCGCCTTATTTATGGCAAGCCGCTCAGTTTGAAATGACGATTTTTGTCGCTTTTTATTATATTATACACCGTTGTTTGTTTTAGGTTATACAAAAGAAGCTGGTTTAGATACATCACCATCAAATGAAGCTATATATACTCAACGGCGTTTAAGTGCTGTTGGAGTATTACTACAATGCGATAAATGTTTAAAATGGCGTCGTTTACCATTTGGATCACCTCCAACGGCACATCCAGATACTTGGACGTGTTCACAAAATCCAAATGTTGAACAGAATAGGTTTGCATTGCAAGCAAAATTTCATTGATCGAAACAAATTTTTTAGTTTATGTTTAGCTGTGATATACCAGAAAAACAAGATATTTTATCTGAAGGTGTACTTAAAAAACCGACAACATCATCTACACCATCACTACCGTCGTCGAATAATGATGCATCAAAGTCAAAACGTGTCTCCTCGACCAATGGTGATCTTGTTTCATCTTCAACATCTCCAAATGACAAAGAGAAAACGTCAGTATCATCTATTCCTTCAAAATCGATATTACCTCTACAAGAAACATCTACAATGTCAAGACGATCGATAACATCTGCTACACAACCGGTTGTAAATAATAATACTAAATCTACACCATCAGTGGTAAGTTGTCGTTTTTTTATCATTCATTGGACGAAACGCCCTTCTTTTCTGACTAAACTAGATGCACTATTACAGTAGCGATGAAAATATATTGTTATCTTTTTTAGCCTAAGATGGCCAGCTCTTCGTTGAATACTCGTCAATCATTAGTTCAACAACAATCAAAATCTAGTAACGGTTCAATCAAACGACCGTTGAAAGCGTCTATTTCACCGCGAACATCTTCGACACATTTGGCACATACAAAAAAACGTCGTACAATAACAAAACAACGATCATCTTTGACCGATAATAGTAAACATAATCAAAGTTCCGAAGAAGAAGCAGAAGAAGAAGAAGAAGGAGCAGAAGAAGAAGAAGAAGAAGACGAAGATGAAAAAACGGAAGAAGAGGCAGATCATGAAAATAAAAAATCGAGAGGTACCAATTTCAGTAATATTTTTTCCAAGCATACTTTCACTTTTTTTTTCATAGGGAAGACAATATCCATAAAACGTGTTAGTACAAATGGAAAATCAGCAGTAAGACGATCAAATCAATCAATTATAGTAAATTTTTTTTCTAATACCCTTTAAAATATCATTTTTCAATCGATTAGGTACGTAATTCACTTCTTTTTTTTAGGCTAATCGTTCTTGGGCTGGAGTGAATACTTCGTTATCAACATCAAATGATGTAACATCTTCTACTCAAACCAGTTATAATAATGATGATTCAGATTCAACTCAATCGTCTCAACCGTCTCAACGTCTACCACCACGTGTTAATGATCGAATAACAGCGATGTATCAAGCTCAGAAATGTCCCGGTATCGTTCTAACTGTTAATAATAATGCGAAAAAATTTAAAGTGAGATTTGATGCTTATGCCACAGCAGACTTTGATCGATGGTAAGTGCAAACAACAGTAAATTTCTAAAATATATTTTTGAATTATTTTTCTACGATATATAGGTATACATTTGCTTCTCCTGAATGGTCATATGAACATCAACTATCAATAATAGCAACACCTACACCAACAAATAATGAACAATTAGTGACAAATGGAACATCACAAAATGATAATAATCATGATCAAAATTCAGAACAGAATAATTTCATGTCAGCAGACTTAACAGATGAATCAACAATGACAAAAGCAATGAATAAATTTAAATCTTTAATTAAATTTATGTTACCACCAGATTGGCTACTGAAACGAGATGAAGTAACCAGACTCGATCTTCAAGGTCTAGCTGATTTTCCATGCGAACAATTCATGCAATCATATCGAGAAAAAATGACACGTGTAAGTTCTATTCTGATTATTTGTATAAGATCATCATCAGTTCTATAATCACTGCATACTAATTGTCAATGTTTTCTTGATTTTTTAGATTGTTGAACAAAGAAAAACAGATGAAGCAAAATGGCGTAGTGTTTTAGATGCAGTTAAAATGCAAGTGATAACCATTATGAATTCAGATGGAGTGGTAAAAAAAATGTCGTCTGTTCGATGTGTTACATTAAATCATTGTTTTATTTTTATTTATTGCAGATAATTGAAAAAGAATGCACAATCGATGATTTTCAGTCAAAATTGAATGAGTATGTCGAACATAGACAACAACAAAAGAAATCATCTTCAAATCAAAATTAAACTACTTTTTTTTTCTCCACTTCAATCGAAAAAATATTTTTGATTGTATAAAAAATATCAATTATCAATCAAAAAAACGTATACTCACAAAGATAAAAAATGTACTTTTGTGTTTTCAACTTTACTTTGTTTTGATTTTTTTTTTTGTTGTCCTCTAGATTTTTATGATCTATTATTTTCTTTCTCACGGTGTATATGTGTATGTATGTGTGTGTGTGTTTTTGGATAAGTCGTTGATATTTTTCTTTCGCTTTTTCTGTCGATATTCATCTCATGTATTTTTCTTTCTGTTGTTTCTTTCGTTCGTTTTTCGTTTATAACCCAGTGAAAATGGGTAAAAAAACTCATCATAAAAGTATATATTTGAATCTAAATCGAGCGTTTCTTCCAATATCCTAATTTCCATTTTTTCTGTTCAAATTAATGTTAGAGAATGTTGTTGTATTTCTTACTGTAATTTTCTCCATATATCGATAAAAATATCGAACAAACGCAAAAAACATTTTATGGTGTTGTTTCTTCTAAACGTTGATTGTGTATAAGATCTTTTTTTCCTTGGAAATGCTTAAAAGATAGATGCTTAGTTGTTTTTTATTGTTATTCGTCAAGTGTATTATGGATACAGAAAAATCTCCCAAAACTGAACGTCTTTATCTATGTATTATGTATTGTGTATTATATGCGAATATTGCAAGCGATAAAGCGTTTTTCTTTCTTTCTCTCTCCACTGTGCAATTAAAAATAAACATTAAGTAAAGGAAATTACTAAAGGCTCAACACAAAAAAGCTTCAGTATGTATCATTGATTATGGCATACTATCAAAATATTGCAAGTGTTTTGTGGTGTTTATATAGACAGACGTTGACAAAACAGATTGATGATTGAAAAATAAGACGGAAGATAACTAGTGTCAATAAAATTATTTTTTTATAGGGCGATAAGTTCATGTAATGGAATAACAGTTGTGCCCTAGTAGAACTGGGTGGAACAGAAGTTTTTTGCCGTACCATACCATATGTGAAAGTCTAAAAGGTCGATCAAATTCGCACCATACTCTGTCGTTAAAAGAAAATCCTGACTGCCACTAGAGTACAGATCTTGTTTGTTTTCCAGTTACCAATTTTATCAAAATAGAAAACTGAAAAGACATTAGAGGATATTTGGCTAGAAATCGAAAGTCTATTATTTGCGTCTCACAATGTTTCTGACCAGGATAATGGATTTAATATGTGTATAATTCGATGTAGAGGCCGGTGAAAAAAACAATTTTAATTTCAGTGACGATTTATACTCATACTACTAAAAGAAAAACAAAATTTAATACATGAAATAAGAAGAACCAATCGGTAACGAGGAAAACAATTTGCTTCCACGCGGGGATTGAAGAAAATGATTTGAAACAAAAGTCTCTGAAGACCGAAAACACTAGAATGAACAAGCCGGGATTCTAGTGAAGTTTCGACTCGTCAGAAAAGACGACACGTTTCTGATTTAAACTCCAAACTTGATGATTTTGTAAATGACAACAACCTTGACATCATCCAAAGCATTGGTTCTCTGCTCTATGAAAAAAATGATAATAGCCATAAAAAGGTTGCTAAATTAGGCAAAGAGTTACATAGAAGTGGAAAAATTGAATCTAACAATTCGCTGTATGAATCTAGAAAACTGGACATGATCATGTAGAAATAATGGCTATTTACAAAATGATAAATAATAATCCTATGCAAGACAATAATATTTTATACGAAAATGCTCGTTTCTCTATCGTTGGCAGACAAAAATTCTCAAACAATACTTTGGACAAATCATTTATCAAACAGTGCTTTGTGACATGTCCTCTTGCCGAGGAAGAGTGACGATTTATTAAAATATGTAAATGAAACATTCCGCCCCAAGAAAAACTATTAAGAGAAAATGATTTAAGATTTGAAGATGAGAACGAAACATATTAAGCTGATGTACATACTGAGACAACTATTAAAAATTTAATTAGAGAGTGGGCGTAGTGGTGTAGATTGTTTGATATGCACAACTTGTCAGTGTGATTTAAAGGACCCGCAAAAAATCGAGGATACTAATTTTTCTGATATATCTAAAACTGTCGAAAAAGCACTAGACTTAAATAACCACTTGGTTTTTGAAAATGATATGCTATAATGCGCAGCAAGAGTCGTCAATAATGAAGAGGAAATTGCAAAAGCGAAAAATTCTACTGGACGAGATTGAATCCAGAACAGGACTACGATTTGGACAACACGATGCTACATCATAAACTGGTGGAAGTACTATCACAAGGACGTCGCTTTTTAAGCTTTGAGCTGCTGAATCATATTATTATCTGTGTTCCGAAGAAACATCGCGAAAATGAATTCAGCTTTGCTTTGTAATCTTACGCCTTGTATCTTCTACTCAACATATAGATGTTGCGAAATCGAAAAATCTAACAAAAGGATTTGCCTTTGTAGCAAAAGATTTGAACTCAGTGGACTATTCAATGATCGTACATAATTTAATTTTTCATGCGCCAAAACTTATTGATCGAAATAATAGAATTGGACTAGAACTACTTTCCGAGGAACTTTGTGTATTAGAACGCATAAATAAAGATGAAAAAAAGACAAACTACGAGCGAATTGATCATTGTATTTGAAAGGTCTCCAAAAATCTCCAATTACATATGTAATATTCGTGAATATTTGTCACCACTTTGTTATTCGATAGCAATTTGATTCATAAAAAGAAATTACAGAAAAACTTGTTGGCAACGTCCACAATTCATTAGAACAGATGAATTTATTACATGTATGATAATGAGCTTGGTGAAGATTTATTAATCGTCAACATTTGTATGTTAGTACAGGCGTAAATAAAGATACTGACAGGTAAAAGCAATCAATACTATGAAGCACAAAACTAAGACTATATATCGATCTACGCTGTACGTCACATTGATAGATGGATCGTGAATTCTATTCTCGCTGGGCTGAAATAAGAGAGCAGGACAAAGCTTCTGATGGCAGAATCAAATTGGATCGGGCTAATTCCTACCGGATCCGACAAGATTTCGTCAAAATCTAGAAGACCGACTTCTCCCAGCCGGGTCCAGTCGGTTCCACTGAATTCATGTGATTGGAATTCGCTGGAATTCAGTAGATCCGATCGGATCCGATTGCCAGAATCCGGACTCCCAGATTTTAACGCAATCGGGCCGTATACGATCGATCGTATTTGACCTGGGAAGAAAAGAAAGTGTCAAAATTGAATTAAACATACAGAAACAGCACAAAAATTTCTCACCATATACATTATCACTTTCTTTTTGGTTAGTTTTTATACTTGTTGATATGATAGACTCCCCTCTCTTGCTGTTGCCTAGTAAACAGCACAAAATAAGATAAAAGCGTGAAATAAACGTATTATCATGATTGAAAAAGAAGTGAGAATATATAAGATAGTTTAAGTCTTATTATATATAAAATAATTCCATGTGAACTAATGTGATACCGGCTAGCACATAAGATAGAATAGTGTCAATAATGTAAATATAACCCGAATATCCATTGATGTTCATTATGTCAATCATTTGTATCAACACGAGTGTCATTGAAATACCCGACAAAAATAAAGTTAATGGAATTAGTATATAGGTTCGATGTGGACCCACATGTGAACTGAACAACACGATAAATGACTTTAATGTGCCAATGGAAAGTAATAGTGCTCCAACGATGGCTAGGACAGGTGTACGTTTTAATGGTATAGAAATATTTGATTCAGCAAACAACTGATTACTTGTACAGAATTTTGATAAACAGGTTTGAAACAGTCCCGTACGAATTTCTATCAATGTTTTAGTATTCATGATCCAATTGACGAGAGATTGTTGAGCGGGTGATAACACTTTGAAAAATTTAATATCATTTTTAGTTGTTGATGTGGTAGAATGAGTAGTAACATTCCAATTATTTGATGAGATCGATAATAAACACATACTTAATACAAACGAACAAAGTACACTAATTATTAAATCGTACACTGTTTTTTGGGATGCCATCTATAATGATAGAATAAAAGATATTTATTGTGTCTGAGAAAATCTTAAGCTAAGATTTTGAGATTAAAGTTTTTTTATTATTGTAGACGTGATAAAATTTGATTAAAAACAAAATGGTGCGTCGGAAAAATTACATCTTCAAATGTTTGTCTTTAAATCATGTATATTACACTTAAAGAATGTAGACTATATTCGTTTTGTTCTTACCTTGTTGAATGCTGTACTCTGTTGTGCTTTTGTTGTTGTTCGTTTTGTTTAAATATGAAAACATCCGAAAGTCTGTTATCTTTGAAAATAAAAGTTTCGAGAAATTTGAAACTTTAAAAATAGATGCGTAGTTTTTACATCTCTCATTGAGTAAAAATTTGTATGAAAAAAATTTATTATTTATACCTGCCCATTCACATCTCAGAATCAAAAGACGGTTATAATGCTTGCAGATATTAACTTCGAGCAAATCACATTTTTTTTGCATGTTGTCAAACCGAACGATTAGAACTTTCAAATTTACATTGAAAACAGGACGTGTAGAAAAAAACTTTAAAATTCTTGTAAATATATGAGCCAAAGGTTCACGTTTAAAAATATATGAAGAAATGTGTGCACACGAAAAAACAAGGACGAGGAGCAAGATATAATAGGTGTTAGACAAAAAATGCCAACATTCATTAACATGCCGAAATCAAAAATCAATGATGTTTTGGAGAGCTTTGAGTTACTTATAAAAAGACCCACTAACATTTTAAATTTCCACCAAATATACTCCTCCGTTCGTTCATTATGTATTACAAATTCTCAGAACTACAGCAGAATAGAGCAGAATATTCAATTAGAACACGTCTGTCTTATGCATCATCGATCCCAAAAAGTCATTTGAATTTTGCTCTGTGGTGTCTCGTTCGAAAAAGTCACCTAAATAGACTGACTGCACTTGTACTTTTTAATACCAGGTCGTCGTGAATGTGTTGATCATAAATTCTTTATCAAAAAAATATTCATTTTAAAAGAAAATTATTTGCTTTAATCTGTACACTTATTTCGATCTATAATGTAGTATAGATTAGTCGTCAAAACCGTTTAATGGACAGGAGACATACTAAAAATCGGACTGATTTAGGTCTAAAATAGCATTAACAAATACCTGGAAAAACGATGACAATTTATAGTAATTATCTGTCATGCTTTCCACAATCGCGATCTAAACCAATTTGATGAGTAAATTAACTCTATTATGATAGCAGCTCAGGCCAAAGCAGCTTTTAGTTCGTATCAGAATATTTTTCTTTGAAATTTTTACTTTTTTTAAGTCTTTTTTACCTCATCGTCTACTCTCATACATCTCATCACGCGTTACCACCATATTTTCTCTCGGTACTATTCACCGCTTCGTTGTTCAAAAGGTGATATTTCTAACTACACACAAGTAATTTATATATAAAAAAGTACATTTATCACACAAAATAACGTTAAAGTTATTATAATATTAATTTCATTGAGAAGATTGCAGCATATTTTCGTATACATTCGTTAATAAATTAGATAGAATCATTAAGGGGGGGGAGGGCGGACCTTACAACAGGTACTATTAAACCTTCTCAGATTGTAGAGAATACTTGACTGCATATACCCTGCATTGTTTCGGAGAGCCGATAAGTACTCATGAAGTTATAAATTAATTAAGATAAAATTTTAACAAAAAACTTAATTGCTGGACCTATTTTTAAAAACTTAACTGTTTAATCACAACTAATTATATAAACGTGGTTCTAGCGTACTTGGATCAAGAATCATTTTTAGTTATGATCGCCTTTAAGATATTCCAGAAAAAGCTATGCTGGGATATAGATTAATCATTAATTAATCCTAATTAACGTCGATTACGGTCAGTTCAGCGATTTACATTTTTATTTGCAAATCAACAGTTCTTTGAAAATAATCACATGATACATCATTCGAATTAGCTTTTCAAGTGCTACAAAACTGTATATTTGCTTTTTAAAAGAATAGGATTTCGACTGAGTTACTTGGTGAATAACAAACAGAAACTGTTACTAGACGCGTTTCTGACTGCTATTAGCAGAGATAGAGAGTGATACGAGAACAAGTGCCTTGGCTTAAGACTCCTTGAACCCAACTTAAAACTTTAA